AAGTTGCGCTGGGGGGAGACCGGCTGTTATTTAACGTAAACAAGTCGGAGGGCACATCAGGAAATTAGCAAACAATGCCGCCGGGGGCCCGAGCCCTCCCGCGGGGGCCCGGCCGCTGGGCGGAGGTGGCCGAGCACCGCCGGGCCGTCAGGCCGAGCGGGGACCCCCGGACTGGCGATGGGTTGTTTTGGTTTTGTTGTGTTTGCCCCCAAAGAGAAAGAAATTTTTTTAAAAAAAGATGATGGTTGTCGTTCTTTTTAAGGAGATAGAAGCTCTTGAGGTGTCCAAGCCCAGAGCGGAATTGTTGACATCCAACGTCTTTTCTAGCTAGCCGATTGGGGTTGGAAAGGTGTGAGATCAGCTCACATGCCAGTCACATAAGTATCATTTACACACACGCACACCCAGCTGGTTCTTAACGATTTAACAGGTGTACGCCACACTCCTGGAGCTTTTAATTTGTCAGGGAAGGGGAAAGTTGACTACAGTCGTGTCTGTGCTCAGTTACTTGTTCAAGTCTATCTTCCTGATGTGACTTTTTAAAAAATGATGAGAACTCAAGGTAAGAGCAGTTGTGAAAACACGTCTGTCACACTGTATCCTGTTCCCTTACATGAGAGGCAGGTGACATTTCATTGTAATGCCAAAAGTCCTAATATTGAGTTTAGACCCACCCTGTTGAAATACCTTTTTTGAATCAATCTGCTGTCAAATCCAGCACCTGTCCATTTCTCCTCTGTTGTTTTAGCTGGATGGGCATCAGAATAGGGAGCGACAGGATTGTTTCAACAACCTACAGAAGGCACATGTAAACTGGTGAGAATTAGAGGGCCCCTGCAAGTTACAGGCTGCCCAAACTTAGCTGTGACGTGGCTAGTCCGAAAATGGTTTAATTATAAACATTTTGAAGATCCACGCCTATCTGTTTTCCCTGGTTTAGTGTGGATATTATTTGATGAAAGAGGCCTGAAATAGTTTTATATGTTCACAGTATTCAGCTCTTCCCTCTGAGTTTTTTTTTCCACAGTAGTGTTGGTTACTCAGTTATTGGTGCGTACTTTCAAAGTTTCTCTCCCTGTGTAATTGCTCTGTTGGTGCTATCTGATTCATTCAGGAATGCAGGCTGGTTTCTTATTTATGACCTCAAGGAACTTACTACTTTATCTTAAAAGTGAGAGTAGTTTTGTTGACACTGTCCTTTGAATCTAAGACCAAAAAATGGGGGGTAGGGGGGAGGCATTGAGAATAGCTGTTAAGAAGGAACCTCTGTTTTCATACCTAGGTGATTCTGCTTTTTGGAAACAGAAACTGTTAAAGTTTGGCTGCTTCTGTAGAGAAGCTTGTAAAATAGTTTATTTTAAACTTTGACTGACATAGGAAGTTTTCCTTTAAAAAAAATATTATGGGTCCAATTCTTCTTTCTGCTTTGCAGGTGCATTTTTAGAAAATAAACAATTGCATATTAACCAAAGTGCAGTTAGCTGAATGTAAAAGATTGACTTGTGTGAAAAGTGAAAAATCTTGCTTTCTTATTCAAATTGTATTATATTTGAAGTAACAAATGAGTATTTTTCATGTGTGTTTGCCTTCAAGGCTTTTAAAGGCTGAGTTTTTTTTCTGGGTAAACTGAGAAAACTCAGAATGCCTGATAACTCTAAAGTATACTGTTGATATGCTCCTGAAAATGGGTAGGGGAGATGAATTTGGAAACCTCCCCTGGCTTATGACTGGGCAAGATTTTTCTTTTCTTTGTAAACATACTTGCCATCTCAAAGGAAAGACGTTTAAGAATTGGCATTTGTGGGCAGAATTTATCATGAAAATCATGTGATTAAACAAAGCTGCCTTTTTTTTTTTTTTGAGGTTTTCGCTGTAGGGCGTGTGCACTTGCCAGACAGAGAGAGACAGAGAGACAGAAAGCAAGAAATCACCCCCCATGGGGGATGGCCACGCCGCAATCCCTTCTCCTCCATTCTCCTCTCGGGATCTTGGGCACGCACGCACACGCACCTGGCATGAGTTTTAAGACACCGGGTCTGGGACGTGAACCGCGGGCGACTACATGGGAGTCCAGCAACATAGCCATTACACTAACTGCTGGTCCCCAAAGCTGTTTTCTTAAGTCAAAGTAATACTTCAAGTTTGTGTACTTCAGAATAAGAAAAGTTTTAGGGATTATGATTGGCTGCTAATTTGGTCATTAACTGAGTTCTGAGAATGCACATTTTTTATAAATTAAAGTATAAGAACACATACTACAAAGAATGAGAGTCTAATCTTATTGCTTATTCCTATCTTGAGCTTGTTGGAATTCTAATCTGTGGTGTTTTTTCGTGCCAGATTATCACCACGAGGTATATAAGATTGCAGAATTCAGCAGCGATGTTAATGGGGAGGCCAAAGAGACACAACCCATTTTTTTAGGTAGGTTCCTGTGTCAATTAGTTTCTCAGCAAAACAGCGTGGCCATTTGCAATTAAGGGGGGGGGGAAGAGATTGTGCAAGAACGGGAAATGTCTACCATTGCTTAATGTATGACATTCTTTTCGAGACCTTTTATTTTACAGATTGCCAATATATCCCTTATTAACATTGCTAAAAGTTGTAATTTCAGACATAAATGTTTATTAGTGTCTACACACAGTGCTAATTATCACTCACTCACAGAGCCAGATGCTGAGTGTGCAGTTTTGTCGCTCTGTGCTCACCCCATTTACATTGCATATTCGCTGGCATGCTTCACTGGCAATAGTTTGTGTAATTGGGGTATTACATCTTTGACATCTGGATAACAGAAATTCAATTTCCAGGAAGCTGCTATTTGTTTGGTTTTGCTTCTGCCTTGGGTGGGATAGAGGATTAATGTGCTGTCTTATTATAATGTCCCTTCACCTCTGTGGCCTGGTTGCTAATCCTGCCATGACAAAATTAAATTAAATCTACAGTCAAAAAGCGTAAGGAAAATAAAAGTGTGATCGTCTGCCTAACCACCTCTTGATAGCGCTAGTCTTCATTGAGCACCTTCTCATTTTCCCGGTTTTGTGTTTATTTCACACCAACATTTTTGGTCCAAGAGAAGAGCCCCAGCTTCTTTCCTGCCCTCTCTGTTCTCTGCTCACCTCAGGGACAAGCAGAGCAGGAGCAGCGTTCCCGAGACCTTCTGACAAGTGTCGTACTTGCTCGATGGATGGGCAGAAGCCACAAGTGTTGCTGTCCCCTCCCTGTGTAGTTTTGCTACAAATACTATACACGGAGGACTTGGATATGTGGTTTGTTACTTGTACACCGTGAGCCAAAAATGAAACCATTTAGGATTTCTCCTCTTAAGTGAAGAAACCATAAAGTTGGAGTGGAAAGGAAATGGTGGAATTGGAACTCAACCTTCCCAATCCTAGATCACTCTGCATCCCCAGGTAGTGAGGTAAGGGCTGGGTGCTGCGCAGCAGGGCCACAGAAGAGGAGAGAAAAATCAGGGCAAGAGTGATTAAAAGCAAGGGTCAGAATTGCCTTATCATTGGGGACTTCAGGTGGCAGGATGGCTGCTCAGCCTAGTGTGGCTAGTCCTTCAGATTCAGACATGGTGAGAGCCGGAGGGGGGCACTGTCCTCTCACCGTGGTCTCTGCCGTGCTTTGAGAGAGAGACAGAGGGTGGGTTGCAAAGGCCTGGAAAGAAGTCATATACACACTTGCAGAGGCAAAACAGAAGGTAGACACAGCATTTCTTCTATGTGAAAAACCATAGAAGGCCCGTGGCTCTTTCTACTGAGGAGAGATTATTCCTGAGGTGCGTTGCTCCCCACACCTGTTTGTTTATTAAGAGAACTGAAAGCCAAAGGCTAATGATCAAGTGAAATGCTATGCTGTGACCCAAAACGCAAAGATTCTGGGATGGCACTCCTTTCAGTTCCCTAAACTTCGTTGGAATTCTGTATTTTCAGTTCCCTGAACTTGGTCAGTTAGAATTCTGTGTTTAAGTACTACTTGAATTCACCATTTGAAATAAGGAATTTGCCCTTTGGTATAGAATTTACATTTATCGTACAAATGGAACATTGTGTCCTTGATTCAGTTTTTCTCCAGGGAAGTAGGCTCACCTCCCCTTTTCTGCTGGGACAGTGGTAAGGACCCATGGAAGAAGTGAATTTTGAGAATGTAAGAGGAGAGTCTGATGAATAGGAGGCTGCTAGTGCTTAGGATTCAGTAAAATGTAAACTCTTGAAGGTGGCAGACATTGCTGCTCTCCTTTCTCTTCGTCCAAGTCCAGGAAGATATGAGAATACCAATAAAAGGCCAGGCTCGGGATATGCTTTCAAAGTGGTGGGTCAAGAAGGCCTTCAACATTAAGAGACAAAAGATTGAACAGCCCGAGAGCCTGCCGTGGGTTATTTCTCAATCTTTTGTGTGTTCTGTGGAAAGTCTGATATGGTTCCCAGAGAACATTTTTCTTTTGTGATCTCTAGGTCAGTTAAAAAAAAAAAATAGTGGAAATGATTACACAAACATGATTTCTAGAACAATTTGGAATAGCTACTGTTAGTATGGGAAATTAAGAGTTTTGTTGTTATAGTTTATAGTTAACTCTTCTCCAAACAGAGATTTAAATCATGTTTATTTTGTAAATTGCTAAAGTCTATGCAAAATATTATTTATTATGGTGTAGAATTCTGTGTAAAGTTTATACATCCACGGAAATACTGGAAGAGCTGTCTCCGCCAACAGTGAAGTATTAACACACGGCCCTGAGGATGTTGTAGAGATTTTCTATGTTCAAGCATAGGTGTTATCATTGATACTTTCTGCTTCTATAAGATAAAAATTCATGTCCCAGGGAGAAAGAGAGTGCTCCAGAATATGGCAGGAGTTCTCACGACAAATGTCTTCCTCTGGAATATTTTTAGGTTGTTAACTAGTGTAATGTTTCAACATGGTAGAGTAGCTCAATAGCATTTGTGGCTTGGCGAAGTGCTTTAGAAGTTAGTTACACATTTTTAATCTGATAATGGGGTCAGAAGAGGTTACTTTATGTTGGACATTGACTTTCTCAAGCTGGCTGTGATAGGACTACAATACAGATTTGAGCATTGTTTGAAGGAAAATAGTTTTAATTTAATTCAGCAAGTATTTTTGTGAGAAAACACAATGGACTTAGCACTTTTTAGTCTAGGATAGCCAAAAAACAAAAAAAGGACAGGACAAGGAGATTCTGCGCTTAGGGTTAAAAACCATTTGGGGGTAGGCGGGGGTAAGACCAATTCAGGCAACAGGGAACAGTAGTCAGCAATCCTGATGACTGCTGCGAGCATTTACTGTGTGTGTGCAAGGCATTGAGTTGAGTACTTTACATGAATTATCTCATTTACTCCTCACAGTGGATCTATAAGAGTCATTATCATTTCCATCTTGTAGGCGAGGCTTAGAGATATTAAGGTAAACTGCCAAAGGTCTCCAAAGTGCCATAGGAGGGAATCCAGTGCAGCCCTGCCTGGGCTTTAAACACATTACTGTATTGCCCTCTGTGTGAACAGTGACTAAATGACGAATGTGAATGGCTAGGGCAAGGAGCAAGATCAAGGTTGGGAGGGTAGGGTGAGCTCTGTAAAGCCTAGACCTTGAACTATGGCAAAGACTTGTCTAGGTAGAGAGGAGGTGGGCAGGATTGCAGGTGAGAAGGGTGAGTGAGCCAAGGCAGACCAGTGACCATCATTATCATTAAATTTAGAATATTGCCCTTGACAGTCTAGAAAGTGCACTCATATGTTATCTCATGGGGTCTTTACAGTTTACCTGTGAGGTAGTGAGGGAAGATAATATTCCCAAAATAGGACAGAAGCTCAGTTAAGTGACCTGCCCGTAAGTAGTAGAACCTGGAGTGAACACAGTTCTCCTATCCATAGATCTTTCCCCTCTACCAAATTGAGCCAGGGAAATTCAAGGATCATTGAGGAGACCTTAGCTTGTGGCAGGGCAGTGGGCACTTTTAGAAAGTATTTTAAAACAAGGTTTTTTTTACTATCCCTTACAATAATACAGACATGAAATGAAATCACTTTTACACTTTGGATTTTGGTTTAGCTTTACTACTATAGTATATAAATTTGAAACCTGTTTGTTTTTCAGGTGTTCAGTCTCATTCATTTATTCATTCAATAAATATTTATTGAGCTCCAATGACATACAGCAAAGCCCTGTTCTAGTTATTCTTTTTCATATTCAGTTCAGTAATACAGCTTTCAGTAGCTGAAGCCTGTGGTGTGCAGGAGTCATACCAGTTGATCAGCATTGAGATCTCTGAATTTTAAATTCTCTTTTCTGTGGCTTTCTGGATGACAAGGTCCCCACTAGGGCCCCATGAATCATTCCAAAGGGAATATACTTGGAAAATTTCTATAAACTCTTAAAAATAAGGGAGTTAGCCCACTAACCTTAATGTAATCCTCCTTCCTATTGGCCTATGTGTAATATGGGGTGCTCTTCACCTAGAGACAAGTGGCCTGGGTCCAACCCTTGTTCTTGTTTCATTTCACTGGGCTAGGTAGTTGGGCCGCTGCTCTCAAAAGGAAGGAGACCAATGTTCCGCCTTACCTCAGGCAATGTGAAAAGCAAGCCAGCTGTGGTGGCAGTGCAGTACTTAGCCACACTGAGGCCATAGAGAAGGCCCTGGGTTTGCATTCCGAGATCTCTGCATGCTAGGTGCACGTATGCATGCTCATGATCCTGGCTGGCTGAGGCTGGTGTGGGTTGTGGCATGAAGACCTTATTGGGGGTGCTGCCCTCTCTCTGAAAAAACAACAAAATGAGAGAGAATCAGCTTCAGTTAAGGTGAAGGGCCAAGGTTGCCAAGAGAGGAACCTCAGAAATTAAATAATTTGGAAGGAAGAGTATTTCACCTCCATACCTCCTAAAAGCTCTACTGTCAGCACCTCAGCTCCACCATGTCCTTGTGTCCCTGTCCCTTTTCATGCTAGTTCTCTTTTTTTGGTGATGGGCTGAAGGGGACAGATAGCTAAAGGTGTCTCTTGGAGTTACAAAGGTGTCTAGCAGTAGGGATTATTCATCAAGAGTCACTGTAGGGGCCAGCAGATGGTGTGGTGGTTAAGATGGTGGACTCCCACATGGTTGACCACAATTCGAGTTCTGGGCCTGGCAACTTGCTTTCTCAGTTCCCTTTTTCTCTTTCTGTCTTTCTCTGGTCAAATTAAAAAAATAATAACAAATAAAATGAAATAATTCTTTTTTGTAAAAAAAAAGAAAAAGAGCTCACTGTGTGCCAAGCACCATGCTAAGTACTTTGCACATGTGATCCCTTTAATTGTCCCAAGAAAGGGAGTGTTATCCCCGCCTTATGGATGACATATTCAAGGAGTTCACACAGTTACTCGGTGGCAGAGCTAGAATGCAAACTAGGGTGTGTCTGACTCCAAAAC